GATGCTGGTCCGTGCCCGCAAACACCCTCTCAGCTGGTGGAGCTGAGAACGAGGGCAATGTGATCTCTAGGAGAACTCTTCCCTCCCAGCAAAGTGGCCACAGTGGGCTTTTCTAACACTTGGCCATCTGTCACTGCCAAGACACCATGCAGGGTAGATTGTCTGCGGAGATGTTTACATACGGGCCACTGAGCCATCCAAAGGAATCTGTTCCACCTCCCTTGAATTTCAGCTGGCCCTTTGACCGGATGCATCTTCAAAGGACGAAACAGAAAGATGCGGTTTCCGCTCAGACCTCAGCAGAGCCGGTGGGCGACCTCAGCCTCTGAGCTGCGTGAGTTCTGAGAGAGGCTCTGGCTGAGACCGTCTACCCTCCATCTCACCTGCAGTGACGCTGACACTCTGCCCAAAGCCCTGGCTCACACAGCACAAGGCAACAGTGGCTTTGAGTCTAAGCCATCACATTCTCGCATAGTTCCTCCCTGAACTATGGCCGTTCTTCCCTCCATCCCGGAACTCGGAACAACGCCTCTTTATATTGCTCGAGTCCCTTTCCACCAGTGAGCACTTAACATTTCACCCCCAAACAATTTAGAATTAGGACAAATGCCTGAAATCCTGGAGACGTCAACCGTGCATCCACCTACTCATGGGGAAGATAGAAGGACGCATCACCAAGAGCCCTGGCTTGGGAATGGTACTTCCTGGCTTTGGGTTGTGTCCCTTCCTGGCCGTTTAATCTTGGATATGTTCCTTAGCCTCAGTTCCTCACCTGTGGAAACGGGCTGATCACAGCACCTGCTTTCAGACAGAGTATGAAGGTTAAGGAAATAAGGGTTAGGGCTAAAGTAATGCCTGGGTGTTGCTTAGTGGGGCACCGAAGGGATCTGGCAAACTGTAGTGATTCACTTCACGAGTTCATGTGTGAGTGTGTGTGTCAGGACAGGGCATCTATTGGTCTTAAGGGGAACAGAAATTAACGAAAGCATAATAATCTCTGCCTGTTTCAGACAAGAAGAAAATGAAATCCACACCTACAGGGTCCTTGGGCGCTGGTGAATTTCAGCCCTCTCGGCTCCCATCTGATTCCTCTGTGCTAGCAGGGGAAGGTGTATGAAGCATGGGAAGAAGCAGGGGCTGTCTCCCTGGCTTCCAAGACACTATTGCTCCTTGAATTCAGGATCTGAGGGAAGTCAGGTTAAAAAGGGTTAAAAATGCATATGTGGCTTTGTTAGAATCAAGCACAAGAAAGAGCGTCTTGGTTAGCACTTTTTTTTTTTTTTTTTTTAGGAAAGAAAAAGCAGCAGAACAAGAGAAATCAAAAGCTAGCCTTCTTCCATCTGCTCCAGACGGGAGCTCGTTAGCATCTTCCCGGAGGCTGATTGTAGCCGCCAGCAGCACCGCCACCGCCTTAATGAAGGAGCTGCCACGCCCAGTGCCAACTTGAGCCTGCTCTGCAGCTTGGTTTGATGGGGTCGCTGCTGATTCCCTCTCGGACTCCAGCATCTCCCAGGCTAACCGGACAGAAGCGCCGTGTGGCAGAGAGAGTTTCCCTTTCTTAGCGCTTCTGCTCCAGGCCCTGAGAACAATGGAGACGCTGGCCCAGTGAGCCAAGAATAACACTTCAAACCCACATTTGCTGCTGGGTCTGGGCCTCCTGGGCCTGCTCTCTCCACCCTAATCAAAACCTCCGTGCTGTGGGGCTTTGAATAGCTGGGCTGTCAGATCTGAGGTGTAGGAAGAGCATAGCCCCCCTCCTTTCCATCTTGTTTTCTAAAGGCAAGTAGGTCAATGCAAACGTGTCCTCGCGCGGCTCCAGCCCTGTGCCTGGCTGAAGGGCTCTGTGCTTCCAGGTCAGACTATCCCAGGGCTATGGGAAGGACCCAGGAGAGGAGTCCCGAGGGAGGTTAGGAAATTCTGGTTTGTTTTCACTCTCCCTTTCCTGGAGGAGCCTGTGAGAGTAGAACCTGAGTGACTGAGGTAGGTGTGTGTATATGTCCATACGTGCACATGCGTGTGTCTGTGTGTGTACGTGTGTGCGTGCATGTGTGTGCTTGCATGTGTGTACGTGTGTGTGTGTGTGCTTGTGTCTATGTGTGTAGAGGCCATAGGTCAAACTTGGATGTAATTTGTTAGAGAATGTCTACCTTTTTGGAAACAAGGTCTCTCACTGGGACCTGGGGCTAGATTGGCCAACAAATCCCAGGAATCCTCCTGCCTCCACCTTCCCGGCACTGAAGCTATACACGCACACCAGCGTTCACTCCCAGCTTCCCACAGCGGCGTTGGGAATCAAACTCACGTCTCTGTGTTTGCGTAGCAAGCACTTTACACCCCGAGACTTTCAGTTTTCTAGGTTCGTCATTCACGGAAAGGTTAACCCTTAATTACTCTCCAAAGAGTCTCAGGTAAGGCTGTGAAATGAACGCTAGTGAACCTAAAATCGGCTAACTACACTTTTATGGCTGCGAGGGACCCAACACCAACAAGCTTAAGGAACCAGTAGGCACTGTCCCGACCCGTTGCCTAAGGGAGTTCCCAGATGGGCCAACCTAGACAGCAAGGGACAAGGGCTCACGTGGAGGCACCGGCTCTGTCTCTCAGCTGGAACACCATATAGGGCTCACAGGAAGACTCTGTCTCTATGGCCAAAGCAGAAGACGTCATCACAGTTCACTTGCATAAGGACGAGGCTGGATTTATCCAGGACCAAAGGTTGCCCTGGTAACAAGCATCAAAGAGTTTCTCGCTCAGACAGGCCTGTCCTGCACCGTGCCCTGCCTGCACAGTGGCCATGGAGCCAGCTTCCTGGGCTCTGGAGACTTGGAGCCTCTTACCCTGTGACTCCCTGATATAACACCACGAACCACCGTCCCTGTGAGCAGCCACGGTCCAGAGCACTTCTATTAAGTTCATTTTATACTCACGCCTAAGTGGTGTGTGTAGTTACCATGACTCGCCCTTCACAGACAGGGAAATGAGCTAACCAGGGGCTCATTTGCTTGAGATTACAGGGCATCTGAGTGGCAGAGCCGAGGAACCAGAGGCACTGAAGTGAAGTACAGGCATGAGAAACTAAGCCTCGTCCTTCTGTGACCTTGAACAATTTCCTCAGAGGCTCAGTTTTCCCATCTGTAAAATGGATCCTCAAGTTCTCAGCTGTTCCTAGACATCTTCATCCTCTTCTTGACCTGCTTTCTCCCAGGAGGCCACACTGCTCAGCTTTCAAAGCCACCTACGTGCTGACGACTCCAGCGTGTCTTCAGTCCAGCTCTCTCCTCTGAGCGCTGGGGTTTTAGTCCCTTGAAGTCCCCATTTGGACATTCGTCTGTGCCTCCAGTTAGCAAGTGGGGCCATTGCTGATCCTTCCCTGGCTCCCTGTCTTCCCAGTCTTGGTGCTGCCATCTGCTCAGGCCAAACGACTAGAATTTAAGCTGGATCGGGTTTATTTTTATTAATTTTTATGTCATAAATATATACTTTATTAAAAATAAATGTGATATACTGCACAATTATAATTATATATAATTAAATAGAACGATGTTTGGTTGGCACCTCCAGCTTGCCCCTGCACAATCCAAAAAGCCCCATTCTGCGCTCTCTCTCTCTCTCTCTCTCTCTCTCTCTCTCTCTCTTTCTCTCCCCAAACCCCACCCACTCAGAGAATCTAGGCACCAAAATGCCCAGTTCTGCATTCTTGGCCATTACAGCAGCCTCCTCCTCTGAAGCTGCCAACTGCCCCCATTCCCACCTTAGCCGTGCTCAGCTTCTGACCACCCTTGGCACAAACCCAGCTTGTGGCAGACACATCATCATCCTTGCCCACAACCTATAAAATCTCCCTGCTTTAGTTGGGGGTGACACTTCTCTGGCCTCCATATCTGGGGTCAGAGAACCTGCCCGGGAGTTGCTTTCAATAAACCTATTGTTTTGCTTTTTCAATTCAACTTGATCTGGCTTATTGTATTAGTGGAGAAATATATTATTGGGAGGCATAAAACCTATTAGATAATATAATTAACGTGATAAATATAATATTTATTACTGTTTCTATTCACCTTGTAATTAATCTATCACTATGGCTTGTCCAATCACCTCCACGATGTGTCCTCCGTGCAGACGTCTTCGTGGTTCCCACAGCCGAGGCTGCCATCAGCTTGCAGTCCGTAGCCTGAGTCACCAGGGGATCTTCTGGCCTCTGTTCTTGCTTCCTGGCTCATCCATCATTCTCACCTCTGCTGACAGTTCTTCCATGATGGGCAGAGGAGATGAAGCCATGGGTAAGACACTGGCCATGCAAGCATGGAGATCTGAGTTCAGAGCCCCGGCATCCACACACGGCTGCACACAGTCACGGAGGCTGTAATCCCGGGGCTCCCGTGAGGTGATGGGTGGCAGAGAAGAGAGAACTGATCCCCTGAAGCTCAAGGGCCATCAGCGGTGGATGGCTAGAGACCCTATCTCAAACAAGGTGGAGGTCAAGGACCAAAAGAGAGTAACCTCTTACCTGTATAGATATACTGTGTACCTGCATTCATACACACACACACACACACACACACACACACACACACAGACAGAGACAGAGAGACAAATAAACCTCTTCCGTGCCTTCCACCACGACTCCAGGGAAACTCCCGCTCCTTTCTATACAGTCCTACTTGGCCTTTGGCCCTTGCTCACTCCTCTGGGCTCTCCCCGCCACCCCGGCTACCTTTGCCCCACAACAGAATTATCTTTCTATGCTTCACTCCCAGCAGGATCTCCAGAGCCTAGAATAAGGCCGGGCACGTAGCAGAAAATCGCGGCCTCTCAGCATCTGTTCTTTAGTTGAGTGACTATGCCAGCCTCGTGTGCCTGCGTCCCCAGACACCAGGCTGTGGCTTCTGTCGGCAGGCCTCCTGTCCCAGCACTCGACCCCAGCTGTGCGCTGCCAGGTCTTGTTCACCTTCCAGGTGCTCAAGGAGCCTCTCCAACAGCGACCGACCATGGAAGCACCAGCTTTCACAGCACGGTTGACCCCCCGAGGCTGCCTTCTTCACATATGCAGGGGTTTTGCTCATCTCCTCCATGGAGGCGTGTCCAGAAAAGGAGTCTTATGTGTCTTGCCTTTGCTGTATTTCTTTCCTAAAACTGGGCCCAGCCTAGAATCGCTGCTCAGAAAGCACCCAGGAGCTGACTGACAGACTCTCACGGCTGTTGTGAGGAGTAAACACGTACTGGAGTGTGTATTCTCCTTGGAAGACTGGCAGTTCATGGTGAAGCTAGGCATGCACCGCCATGACAACAGCGTTCCTCCTTGGTGGACACCGAAGAGAAATGACGGCGCACACCTGAAAGACGCCTGCCGCAAGAACGCCCGCAGTGGCCTGGAGACGGTAGTCAGAGCCTGGAAACGGGCGAGGCCATCAAGAAGAGACCAGCCACACACAAGTGTCTCCATTTCATTTGTACATCGGAAAGCCACTGGCAAGGAAGCTTCTGTTGGTGTGCCTCCCGCACTCTGGAGGGCAGTGTGTTGATCAAAGGTCACTGCTCTCAGAAAGAAAGGACACGCTGCGCTGCGTGAGTCTGTTTATATGGAATTCAGAATGGAGCAAACAATCCCGGGTGTGCCCCCTGACCCCTTCCAGAGCCACTCACGGGCCTAGGGAGATGCACCCAAAGTGAGACACACTGGTGTGTGTGTGTGTGGGGGGGATGCACTGACAAATGGTGCTGGGGTCAGCACGGATGCCGTGGGTGGAAAGAATGTCTTAGCCCTGGTAATTTTGGAAAGCTATGTGCAAGGCTGCATTCGCCAACAAAGGCTTGCGGAACAGCTGGGAAAACAGAGCGTTTTCAAAGACCACTGAGGAGGAAGCTGCGGCCTCGCACGGGAGTCAGATCCCAAAATGGCACGCACGTGGAGAGTGTGACCCCAGCAGTGACCGTGGCTCTGGCAGGTGGCTTCCTGCCCAGGCAGGGAGGGGAGGTGGTGGTGGCTGGGAAGGAAAGTGGTGATAAATCTTTTCTTGAGCCATAAGCCCCGGTCCTCAGGGTTGCGCTGGTGGAGGGTGTTCCTCCACCCAGTGGCAGGAGACAGTCTTGGGGGCCCTTTTCACTGCATCTAAAACTGTGGCAAGAGCACACAGAACAGGAAGAGGCCTGTGAGGTATCTATTTAATAGCCCAAATATCAATCAAAACTCCAGAGGCAACACACAGAAGGACAAGGGCTTTCTCCCAGAGCAGCTCCGCAACCATTTCCTCTATCATTCATCCGTCTTGTTGCAGCAATGGCTTTAGCTGGTTGGAAAACACAAAGATTAAAATGAACTTCTCTGTGTGTACCCAGGACTTGGTGAAACATACCATCAGCAAATCTAGAAAAATGTGTAATGACAGGGCCATAGGAATGGGCTATGTGCGGGGATGGGAGTTGGGTTGCAGACGTGCACCTGAGGGACGGTTTGGGGGTGCTGTTCATTAAGTCACTCGTGTGGTACTTACAGTGTGTGCTCTTCTCAGGTGTCCCGCCTTCAGACTGATTGAGGAAAGACTGGACGAGAAGATGGAGAAGTGTTGTGTTGTTCTTCACATCTGGTTTCCAAAGGAGAACCTGCAGATGTGTAGATGGAGGCTGCTCGTTCACTTCCTGGGTGCCCAGACCCGAGATAATACACAGAAACTATATTAATTACAATACTGTTTGGCCAATAGCTTAATCATATTTATAGCTAGCTCTTACATCTTAAATTAACCCATTTCTATTATTCTGTGTATTATCATGAGGCTTGTGGTTTACCAGCAAGGTCCGGGGGCATCTGTATCCTTCAACGGCTACATGGCATCTCTTTGACTTTGCCTTCTTTATTCCTCTATCTCTGCTTGGAATTCCTGCCTTGCTCTATTCTGTGCTGCAATCGGCCCAACAGATTCTTTATTTACCAATGGTAATAAAACATATTCACAGCATTCAGAGGGGAATCCCACATCACAGGTGCAATTCAGGAGTAGATGAGGACCTCCGAGGAGTGAATCCTTGTGTAGTGACAGCATCTTTTTTTAAAATTTTTTTTTAGGGGGGGGTGAAAAATAATGGGTTCTCCAAGCATTTCCTCCACCCAAAGATAGCCAAGTAAAGGAGATGAGAGGGTCAAAAGTGTGAGAAAATGGAAACTCGGGTTTCCGTGTGTATTTGAAAGGCTAAGCATGCATTAAGTGACGTATGCACATACGAGAGGTGACATCATTGGAAGACCATTCCTGAGCGTCGGGAGTTAACATACAGGTGGGTTTCTGTGAGCATGGCAGGGAATCACGGTAGACTTCAGAGGATCTGTAGCTTCCTCTGGGCTGCTGAGAAACATCTCTTGGCATCGTCCCGGCAGCTCGCCTCACCAACAGCAGAGGCTGAAGGACTAGAAGATAAGAGATCTTAATAGATGGGGAAAGAACGCTGGTTAGAAAGCTGATGTGTCCATGGACTTGAAGGAAGTCGGTACTCAACATCCGCGGTAGTGGACTCCTAGGAGAATGCCGCTCTGGATTTCCAGCGGCTACAGACGAGTGCCCATTCATCTCCATTTGAGAGTCAACCTCTGCTCTCCAGGGAGAGAGCAGGGAAGGAAGGATGTGGGTAATTCAAATCTACAGATAGTGCAAACCCCGGATTTTACCAGAGATTTCAATTCCTCCTCCTCGACTTTGTTTTTTTTGTTTTTTGTTTTTTTTTGGAGAGGTGTCAAATAGCACAGCCCTACCTACCTGTGGAGTCTGGATCTCAAATGATAGGAACTTTCTAGGAGGCAGTGAACAAAAGGCCGGGACATAGGGGCCTTTCTGCTTTGAAAGGCCGCCCACCATGCCTGCTGGGTTTCACCTGGAGGAAGTTCAAGATCGGACATTTTCTGAAAACCAAGCTCTGTGTTCAGTATCGACAACTCCTCAGTGGAGACCCCAGTGGTGGCTTTGCATGGCTATAGGCAGAGTGGTGATGGGGGGGCACTGGTCTCCCCACCCACGATGTGCCTGAAGCTCCTCCAGTGTCCCCATCTAACGAGATGCAGGCCTGACCAATGCACACTTGCTGCCATTTTAAATGTCCCGCAACCAACCTTTCCCAGTGACCTCATTGGTGGCCTCGCACATGACCTTGCCCCAATCCGACCGTCTTCAACCTTGAGCCTGGCGTACCTGCACTGGTGTTTTCTGCCACTCTGTCATGGTCCCTGTCGTTCTATGAATCCCCAGCTCTCTGCTTCTTCCCCTGATAAAAATGTGTGCCTTCCAGCTCATGGCAACAGCTCCTTCCTGTGCTGACACTCCGTGGCCCTGTCTTTCTGACACTGTGCTGCACTTTCTATGTTATTCCTGCAGCTTACATCCCCTATGACTTAATGTTCTCGGAAATGTGGGTCACGACCCATCCGTGAGCATTGCGATCACTTTAGTGGGTCATGACCTGAATTCTTAAAACTGCAGCGGCGGAGCAGAGAACACGGCAGGATGCATTCCTCGCACACACATCCTACACGGCACCGAGACTGAACATACTTTTTGATTCACGGTCCAAAGGCTTGAAGAGTCCCTGTCACGGGCGATGATGATGTTTACCGCACTTAGGTAACAGAAAGCCTTGATCCACCGAGTTTACATGGCAAAGAATGTATTCACTTCTATGACGGGAAGCCTGCAGACGGGGCGGCTCTGTTAGCTTTGGTTTGTGGCCCCTTGGCAGCGTCGACGATCTAAACAAACCTTCACCCTCTTTTTCATTTTCTCCCCTCATTTGTAAACTGGCTGCCGGACACCCTGCATCACAGCAGCGATCAGAGACAGAAAACAAAGCTGAGATCCATTCTTAGGGTCTCTTTCTGCCAGCGCTACCCACCCCAGCTCTTTTTCCACAGCTCTGCAAAGTAGATGACAGAAATAAAATGGCTCTCTCCAGAAGTAGCAAGGCAAACCAAAGCCAGTAGATGAAGGTAAGGGCGCCTCTCACAAACACCTGTCTGGCTTTATTGGTCATGGAAAAGGGGAGGCTGGTGAAGTGGGGAAAGGCAACCCAAAGCCTGCGTGGGCCGCGCGCAGATGCCAGGTACGGCTCGAGTCCCTTTCTCTCCGCACCCTGCAACGCTTTCTGCGTAGCCACGCTAGCCTTGGGCCTTGAATCCCGAAGCTCAAGTTAAGCCAATCTCTTTCCCTCAAAGTGTAAATATTCATGGTGCGCAGAGATAAATACCCAGTTCCGGATACAGGAGGCAGCAGACAGAGATTGGGATATGCCCTTGGTCATCCCCTGGGGCTGGGATTTCTTCCTTTTCTGGCAGCTATTAAGTATGAAGTGCTCAAGGGGCACCGTTGGGCGCAGGAATGCTATTTCAGTAATAAAATGCATATTCTTCGCAATGCAGATGGCAGCTCTGAGCTCCACAGATGGGACTGGGGTTCTGGAGAGGAGAGGCAAGCAGGAGCGGTGGGTGGGGCGAGACATGACGTCATCCCAGAGAGGGCTTCTCTGGAACGGTGGCGAGATTACTGCTGAATCATCCCTGGGGCCAATTTTCAGCGTGTCAGTTGGGCAAAGGTCCCTGTAATTAAGCCCTTGTTCACCACTTGCCGCGGCACCATTCAGCTTATGTTGTCATTTGAGGCCGGACAAGAAAACACGAATACATAAAATTACCGTATCAGCTAGGGCCGCGGTGGAGAGCAGAAAGCCAAGGCTGTTGCTGGTCCTCTCTCTCTCAACAGCACAAATGTACAGGCTTGTGTGATTGCCTGCGCGCGCACGCACACGCGCACACACACACACACACATCCTCAGACCTTGATCAAAGAACACACGTTCTGGACTTTGAACTAAAGCAAATCTTCATTTCTGAGATAATTGAGATCTGTTTGCACTGGCTACAAACACAGGACTCTCTTGCCTGCCCAGCAGAGGAAAACACACACACACACACACACACACACACACTCAGAGGAAACCACCTGCCGGGCTGCACTCAGTCCTGGGAAAGCGGCAGACACGGAGGTGCCTGGCTTCCTTTCTGGGTAACTCATCATCTTCATCAGCCTGCAGGGGATCCGTGGTCTCAGCCACCCCCAACTGGGCTGGATCTTACCCTAGGTCAGTGGCAGGAAGGCCTTTGTCAACACTGGAGCAGTGTGCTCAGGCAGCATTCCCTGCACCTTGCACGCCACTGTAGGCCTGGAGCCATGGGGTCGTTGTGTCTCAGGCTGCCATCAAAATAAACCTCTTCTCTGAAAATGGACTACCTCAGGTGTGTCATCTAGTGACAGAAAGCTGACCAACCTATGTCCCCAGTGTCTCCAGTGAAGCTTTCTCCACCTATCCATCTAAATGGCCCACTCAGTGCCGCGCACACCGCATCCCGAGTCTGCGCTCTGTGCGTTATTACCCAGTTACCAAGCTTCGGGCAAGGGGGCTGGAGGTTAAAATACACAGACAGACACAGACAGAGAGACAGCAACACGGGTCATCCTTTAATTCCCCAAGAATGCCCCCTTTATTGTGTTCAGGAGCAAATTATATAGAGATAGCCACGCCCCAGCCAAACCCACCAGAAACCACTCTCCTGCCATCAGGAACTCCTGAAGGTCTCGTGCTCAGAGCAGCTATAGGTACTCAGATCAGGGGAAAACAAGTTGTTTACAAGAAATTCAGGATCTGGGGTCTCACTGCTCCCAACATCTCAGTCTCCAACCCTCTGTAACACCGCCCCCAGTCCCATTAGGCATTTTCTACATAGACAGATGGTCTCAGGGTCTAGGTTTCTTTGGTTTTCTTGTTCATTTTTCAGCTATGCCATTTGGAGACTCAGCCGTGTGAGGACAGGAACTCGGTCTTTCATTTGCCCCGTGCACCCTAAGCATGCATGCGCGCAGCTGACAACACGTGGACATGAGTACCTGACACGCAAACAACCTAGTGCCTCTTTGTCGGCTCGCCCACCACGAGAGTCGTCAGTCATCAGACCTTACTGAATCACCAGCCAGCGCCAGGCACTGAGGTGGGTGCTGGAGAACTGAATGAAGAGAAGCAGAATCTGCCCTGGAGAAGCTCCCCTGAGAGGTGAGGGATGAAGTGGAACTGACGTGTGAACCACAGAAGCGCGTGTGCTTCTGATGCCTCTTCCAGCAGAGCGAGGAGTGTAAACTGACATGGTGTCACACACCTTTAATACCAGGACTTAGGAGACAGAGGCGGACGGATCTCTGTGAGTTCAAGGCCACCCTGAGCTACACAAGAGCAAAGCAGAAACAGATCCAGGTGCTGGTGGCTCCCACCTTTAATCCTTTAATTAGTTTGGGAGTCAAATGCCTTTACCCCCAGAACTAGGGAGATGGAGACAGGAGTGATGTGGCTGGGTGGAGCAGGGCCTTTGACCCACTACGCCATCTTGCTGGCCACGCGTCTTATATATTCCTGAGTGGGGAGTTCAGATTTAGAGGACAGACACATTCTTGCCCTAAATATCAAGTTTCCTGATGGAGAGAGCTGTAACCGAAGTGTGTGTGAGGCTTGTAATCTCTGGACACCTGCTAACTTATGATCTCATTGGTTTCTTACTGATCTCCTGTTGCCTGCTGGGCATTCTAAAGGTCATAACGGTCAACTGACATTCATTCCTTTGGACCACAGTACAGAGCATCAGGTCACAGGTCAGATCTGGGTGGTACAGACAAGGAGCAGGGCCTCTGCCCAAACTGTGTATGTGTCTAGGAGAAGAGGACTCTTTCTTTCCCTTTGGAGGTTTCTTACCCACTCTGAGAAGTGAGGGGCAGTAGATAAACCTGCGGGAGCAAAAGCACCCAGCTATTCTCATGCTAAGAGCGAGACCTAGCAGTGAGGTTTAGAAGTGTGTTTGTCCTCTCCACAAGGGTAAGGGAGATGCTGGAGGCATTTTTAGTTGAAGCAGGACAGAGTTTGTATAGCTTCCCTTGACTCAGGCTGTGGTAGAAAAGTCTTCGTAAGAGTAAATTTTCTGGAAGACCAGCCTCTAGGTAGATAGAAGACTTCGGAGAAGGCGCCTCTGGCGGTCGATTCTGACAGCTTCTTTTTAGGTACTGTACTTTAGTATCATTTTTCTGGGCCTGGCCCCAGAGTGTAGTTCAGTTATGGAGTCCTTGTCTAGCATGTACAGGACTCTGGATCTAAGACAAAAACTCTTGCTAGATGTTCACCACTATATAACACTGAGTTATTAAGAGTATTTATGTGTATGTTGTATTTTCAAATGCACATGCAGTACCAAAGGAAACCAAAAGGTGGCATCAGAGTTAGTTATAGAATATTGGGAGCTGCCATATGCTTAGAATCATACCCAGGTCTTCTTTAAGAGTAGCAAGTGCTCTTAATTGCTGACCTGTTTCTTCAGCCCCAAACTGAGTAATTAAATAAGGTATTTATTTCTAGTACTACTATGGTTAGATGCTGGCTGCTAAAACAAAGACCTTTAAGTGAACAATTACTTAAACAAGACAGGAATTGGTTTCTCTCTTGTGTAGACATCCATCCAGGTCCTGCAGCTGTGCTGTAGAACACATCCGTTCCTCGTTCTGTCGCCTGCATCACTCTGATAGCTCTGGGTGGGGGTGGCACCATCCACAGAGTCCAAGGTGGCTCCTGGGTCACACTGTATGTGCTCACAGTTTGACACAGGAGCTGAGCTGACATCACGGGGACCCGGCCCTCTCTCTGGGGACCGCTCTCACCCTCTGGAGAGGTGTTCCTAGAGCAGCCTATCAGAGTGTGGGAAGCCTCTTATGTCACGTCTTCTCAGCTTTGAGCTCATTTGAAGAAGTGTCCCAGTGGTTTCAGCCTTCTGATGCCCTGAATGTAGACATGCTACTGCCTGGACCACAAAGGTCACCTTAGATAAGGAAGTGGAAGCCACATGCTGAGGATGTCAGAGCGTCAGAGAAGACAGTGTGTCCCAGCTCCAGCCAGTTCACGACCGGGCTCCACTTAGATGACACAAACCCGTTTAAGCCATTGTGATCTTGTATGGACGGTCTCTTACTCTGGTCTTCCCTGATAGAACTGTGGGTACTATAATGCTCATACCCTAAAATGTATAAAAGGGGAACGGAAGCATGATGTATATCTACATGAAACACAGAGGTGATGTTGGAAAACTCCAGAAATTCTAGTATGTTTGCGCTCCACCTGAGAGTCTCACACGACTCTTGGATCTGAGGTTGCACCTTCTCTATCCACTTTGGACATCTCTGGTCTCCTTGGCTCTTGTTCCATGAGTCTTGTAAAGCTAGTTACATTTGAGAAGTTATCTGTTACCTCTCCTCTGATTATACTTTGTCTTCTGAGGCTGGGATCCTAAAGAACATTCTCTGAATCACCTAGCCAAGCCAGGGCAAAATTCCTCCCAGGCCAAACCTAAACTAACTCTCCGGGTCTGTTTCCGGCTCTAGACTTCGCTCTTGCTGGAGAGAGAGTCTACTGGGATTGGCTAGGTGCCGTGTGATCTGAACCCACAGAAGTGGGCAGTCTGTGCTGCAGAGGCACAAATGTGCTGGGAGCCTGCGCCCATGCAGCTGCTAAGGTGCGCCCACTCACCAACTTCTCCCAGCAGGCAGGCACGTGACTAGGCCCTCACTGGTCACAAGACCCTAAGGGAGGAGAGGAGGCCGGGAGAAAAGCAGAGTTCCCCAGCTCTGAAAGCTTCCCCGAGGCCTAGCACCTTTGTTTGGAAGGCAGTGTCACGGGCCATGCCCACCACGCCTCGTTAGAGATGGTCAGAGTGGAACCAATACGAAATTCTGAGGCAGAGGGTTTAGACAGCACCCCACCCCCATTCAGCAGAGGAAAGTGAGACCCCACATGGTCCCTTCAGCACTGGGGCAAGTCCCCACTCCTGCTCCTCCGTGTGTCCTGTTGTATCACAGCTGCTAAACTCCCTGACTCCTGCCATCCCCTGAATTTAGAGAAGAGGTTGTTTAAATGCTGTAAGCTGCACGCTCATGCCCCGCCCACTCCACGCGGCTATTTAATTAACAGCACCCGCGTAGGGCAGAGGGGCCGCGGGGGAGGCAGAGGGGTCAGGGAAAGGAGGGGCTAGAAGGGGCAGAAGGCTCCTGAAACTAGAGGAGGCCCTTGAGAAACACTGGGAATGATCTCATTATGAAAGTAATGTATGGCCTGGCTGTTAACCCCGCGGGCAGGCGGGTGGTAAATGGGGCAGACCCTGGAGCCTGGCCGAGGAGGAGGCAGCTAGGAAGGGAGGCAGCATTTAGCCCCCACTGCGGATTCATCTGTTCTCCTACACATCTAAGTAGCCAGGCTATCATGTGATTCTCGGTAACTATGGCAACAAGCCCTGTTTCATGGAATGCGTGGTGAGAAATCACAAAGAAAGATCCCAGCGCTGGCTAGGTGCTGCGCCCAATAGCTGCTCCCCTCCACCTCGGTCTGTCCTCTGGGGCTTCAGGGGTGATGGGTGACAATGAGCTACCAAGCAGCTCTCTTCTGATCTGGAGACATTAGTTCTTTTTGTTCTCCTGATACTTGTCTCCCATTTTTGGAACAGTCCCTGAAGATGAGAGACAAAAATAACACTCTCCCAAGGAGACGACGCTAATGCGCACTCGGGGCTTTCAGCGATGGGGCTCTGTAGTGAGGCGCCCACCTTCAGCAGCTCCGCAGTGCCAGGGGTCAGCGTTCTGTTCTCTGCCCGGAGAGCTGCAGAGAGGCGGGCAGCAGCACAATGGGAGGTTGTGTTAGCACCGAGTGGGCTCTGGAACCCAGGGGCAGGCCCTGCAGCCCCTACTCACAGGCACAGCCAGAGGAAATGGTTGTAAACGAAGGGCATGGTTATGACACGGTGAAACACAAGCTAGGGGATTCACCACCCAGAAGCTAAGT